GGTAAAAGAGGGTCAAATTGTTCATTTTCATGCATAACTGAGTACTTTCTCTAGTTGTGCTGAGTCTATATGCATTGGCATCCTCTCAAATTTTTCTTTTTAATTCTTCTTTCTGTACCTGATCTTATGTTTCTGTGTGACTCTGTGGCCTTTGATGATTTAATTTGAGCCACAAACCTTGTACCTACAGTGATGGGGCATTCTTTACCAGGACATGCTTCCTTCCATTTCTGGGCTTGTGGAACGTATGCCATAGCTCACAATGCCCACATTCCACAAAAACTTGAAACTCCTAGCTCTAATATTTGTTGGCATAGCAATGCTTAACAGACCACTGTTCCGGAGCAGGCAGCATGCTCCCAGGCTTACACCAGGAAGGATAGTGTTGTGTCATACTCAATCTTTCCTCAGTGCTGAACCAGGATAGACTCCTGGAAGGCTCACAATTACAGCAGGGAACATAAGTGGTGTCAAGGAAAACTGCACAGTGTGCAGGTTCAGAATTTACTGGGGGGTGTTGTTTGAAACTCTTCTGGAAACATGTTTTGTTTACCATGATTATTAGTCAATGAACTATTTTATGGATGGTGCATTGTACTAGTAAATATTGCTCCAGTCTTTTCCCACTAACAGATCAGACTTCTTTCAGCAGCCAGCCATTTAGAACACAATAGATGAAAGATTTGTGAAAGCATGGGAGGGAAATAGCAGTATTAAAGACATTTTTATTTCTTTTGTACAAAGCACCCATACTATACAGTTACACTACCAAGAAATCCAGTTCTTTGTTAATGACAGCTTTATCGAAGGCAAGCTTTCAGAATGAAAATACTAGAAATCCTATTAAAGTGCCGTCCATTAAACCATTAAAGTACTCATTAAAACTGTTAGTACAGACTTGTTATTCATGAGTTATTGGTCTTTCACATTTCTGAAATGCATCTGCCAATACCACTCAACTCTTTGTTCCAGTGTGGCCATTAAGTCTGAGGAAATACAGATTAACTTTCTTTTGATAAAACGGTGCTTTGTGGGAGGATAGTAAGGCTGCAAAGTGGTTCAGATTGGTGAGAAAAACAGGAAAGATTAAAGTTCAATCCATTTGCCTGGTTTTGACATAATTTATGTTAACTATGTCTGCATGTAGACCTAAATATTAATCACTGAATTACACCATCTGGCCATACATCATGCAAAGATGTTAATGGGAATATAGTATGCTGCTGTGATGAACATATATAGCCTCATCTACTTCTACAAATAGCTGAAAACAAACAGAGAAAGCTGCTGTTTGCTTTTTTCCCTTGATATCAAACAGTAGGTTTAGATGACTTAAATATTGGAGTGAAAAGTGGAATAATAATACTGAAAAGTTGAAGCTAAGCTTTAAATATGAAATACTTTTAATAGTCTTTAAATTCACATGAAAACAGGTATTATAGAGTAGAAACTGTTTCTCTTGATGAATAAGAATCTTAGACCATAATTTTCTAAGTGCAACACAAAGCTGCATTTTAAACTTACTCTTTGAGAGTAGTTGTAACTACAAATAGATTTTTTTTTAAAATTTCTGTATATCCTGTGGGGTTTTTATATAAGGTAAAGCCAGAGTCCTCAATCCAGGCTCAAAACTAGCAGCATGTCAGTCAGCCAGTTTATTGTTATTTTCTAGTTTTCTTGTCAAATGTAGAGAGAAAGTGTGTGTGGCACCTTATGTTGTGAAGTGATTTACAGAATATCTTGGGACTGTAGGTAAAAACCTACAAGTTCAGACAAATTGTTTCCTTTTGTTATCTATCCAGAACAATGCAGAGTAGTGTGCCTCATTCTGAGGCAGTGGACTGTAATTTAGATAGCATGTTTGCATATATGCCTCTCAAAAAACACTGACTAGGTAGTCTCAGGTATTGTAGATGTGCATTATACCTGGTCAAATAATTGATTTTATTTTAAGGCTTATTTAAAGTATGATGTACTAGTATGTAGTTGGCATCTTCTGTTTATTTTGAAATTAGTATGTTTATGTTTTAAATTATGACTAGAATTCTGAGCTAAGCCCCATGCTAAGTACTTTCCAAAATTCTGAATACTTGACCTGCAAATAGAATCATAGAATCAAAGAATTTTAGGGGTTGGAGTGAACCTTACAGATCATCCAGTCTCTACCCCATGCCATGGGCAGGGACACCTCCCCACTAGACCAGGATACTCAGGGCCTCATCCAGCCCGGTTTGAACACTGCCAGGGATGGGGCAGCCACCACTTCCCTCGGAAATACCCTGCACAAGTTACCTTACTCACTTCCATTCACTCAGAAAGAAAAAGAGGTGTGATTCTTGCTGAGAGAAGTCATTATGTAACACTTAGTACTTTCCAAGTCATATAATGTTGGTGAAATGCTGGTCAGCTGATAAAGATGTATATTACATGTCTTAAATATGCTATTTTTTACATGATTCTCCTCTTCCCAGTTCTGATGAAAATGTGGTTCAAATTCTTTCTCTTCACCTTAGGTGAAATGAATAGTGCTTATCAGTACAGATAAAAATGTTCATGTTTTTAAATTAAGCAGTGCTTGCCTGCTTCGAAATTCTACCAATCTTACATCTCAGATGATGGGAAAACATTACTGTGATAGAAGTAAATTGTAAGAAAGCAGCATAAAAATTTTAGAGTAAAATTTTACAAAGGATTGTTAGAAAAATTTTACCACTTGCTTTATTGTTAAATAAGAATTTCAGTAATACTGTGCTGGAAAAGGGTGAAGCCCTACTATTGGATCAGGTTCCTATGTTTGTACTTAAGCACAGCACATAAGTGATGTCTGCCTTTGCAAGTGAGAGAATACTAATTGGGGGATAGTTTGTTGCTTCTTTATGTGAAAACAAAATACAATAGGGCTCAAAATAAAGCCATCACCAGTTTTATAAATCTCTTCATAGCTAGTCTATTAATATACTAAGTTAATAATATTAAGCTATTATTACTATGGACATTTTAAGATAGGTTAAGCACAAGCAATCAAATTTCTAAGATAGTGAACCCAAATACTGCATTTTTTTAAAAAAATCATTTTTGGGACAAAAATATGTAGAAGTTAAAAAAACCAGATTCATTCAAAAGACATTTAAGAATGCCTTTTGAACTGTTAGTAGCGCACATAGCAATACAACTCAAATGAATCATATCCAAACAGCAAGTAGAATTTTCATGGGCTTCATCATGCTTCCAATCAGTTAACTTCTTCTCATTCCTCTAAAAAGTCCTGTTTCAGTTCCTTTTCAGGGAGGAGCTGGAAACACCATACTTCAGTTACCGTAAGTAAAGCAGTGTGCAAAGGGTGAGCCTGAACCTCAACCATCACACTCTGCTCTCCATAGCTAGGTTATGCAGGTAAACTCAACCAGGCCTAGCTGCATAGGACTGCAAAAGTAAAACTCAGGAAAATCAACTGGTAACTACTACTAAAGTTAATTGAGTCTAGGGTATTAGTTGGTAAGTTACTTGTTTTCTTTTCTATAGGATAGCCAGGCAGAATGATTTTTTTGTTAGAATAATCTCAGTAATGAAGCAAATCTATTAACTAAATGTTACATAAATAAAGTGTATAAACATCTAAAGCTGCATAAGAATGACGCAATTTTCTGACTGACCAGGTATTAATTATTAATCTAAGGGGCAAGTGATCTAATAGATCACATTGATTAATTTCACACATATTCATTGTCAAGTGATACTTACTTTAATAGATTACAGGTCAAATTTAATTTCCATTAGCATGAAATGTACTCAACTGTTGTAATCCTGGGAGAAGTCACTAAAAGTGGTAGCTTTGTGCTGTAGTGGCAGTATGGATCTTCTGACTTGTGCTGTGAAACTGGTCTGCTCATGGAAAATGAGTATAGTGTTGGTGAACTGACCCATCTAGGCTTATCTGTGTCATTAGTTTTTTATATTTACAGCAACCTGGTGTCGGGAACTGCCAGTTCTTACCCGGGTTAAGCAAAGGGCATAAACGTCAAGTCACAATTGCACAGACATGTTGGTGAATCAATTTTAAGGTCTCTAATGTTGCTTAAAGGAAAAGTAAAACAATAGGTAATTATTCATTACTTCTCAGCATGAGGTGACCTTTCATACAGCCAATACCATAGTGGGCATGAGCAGCTGCCATCTGTTCTCTCTTTTGTATTTACCTAGCTGCATATATACCTCAAGTATAAAGCTAAAAGTAGTAGAGCATGGAGTCTCCCTGGTGGAGAAGGATGAAAGACTGTGGGACATGCTTCAGTAGCTCCATTCTGCAACATGAAGGAAACAGAAAATAAACAGTAAATCTAGAAACATATGTTTATGAATAAGAGATCATTAGAATTTCAAATGTGTTTGAATTGCTTACTTATTTATTACTCAAGAAAATAAAAAATAAGTTTTATTTATGTTGTCTGTGGATGATACGCAGTTGGTTCCCTGAGCAACACTGGTATCATGTGTTTGCCTGGCATCAAAATGAAAGAACAGAAACAATGCTAAGTTTTTCGGGAAAAAATATCTTCATGAATGTTTGGATTTTATTTAATAAGCAGGACACTGAAATCTTTGAACATGTGCACTTGCTAATAAGGAAAAACAAAAATATTTACTCCACTTTATCACAGTGTTTTTTAGATTTCTGGTATTTTTTCATGCTCCGTTATGCTAGAATTCCTCACTTGCCAAAATGAGTGAAAAGATAAAAAGGTTAGTGGCTTGCTTTTCTGAAGAGACAGCCTTGGATTTTAAAAGCTTATGGTTTAAATTCTTCATGGAAATTTCAGATGCATAAATACAAAATGCTTTATGCAATACGGTGTAATAAGTTAAAATGTGTCCTGAAGCAATAATTTTCTTTCACAGGCAAGTTATTTCCAGAGTAAACTGTGGGAGTTTAGTTTGTAATCATTATGACAAAATCTTAACTGAATTTTTCCTGTCCTTGTCGTCTCTTTTCTCTTTCAAAGTCTATTGATCCTGGTCAGCAGTTCACGTGGGAGCACTCTAACCTGGAAGTAAACAAACCAAAGAATAGATACGCGAATGTAATTGCATATGACCATTCTCGTGTTCTACTCTCAGCAATAGAAGGTAAGGAGACCTTTAAAATTAAACTACTTAAATCCTACAGTCTGATATCGTTTTACACATCAATAACTTTATATAGCAGTATAAAGGTGTGTTAATTAAGTACTTTCAATAAATTCCTATGATGTCAATCCTTTTCTGATGTTTAATCTCAGTATTATGTTATGAACTTGCCTTAAAATGTACACACTCTCACATAAAACACCAAGTGCATCAGGTCCCTGTGTGTATGCCAGTGTGGTATCTAAAATGAATTAATATTGCTGTTTACTTACACTAACACTACAAAGCAAGTGTAGCAGTAAACATAGGAGCTGGGAGTTTTGTTGGTCAACGTCATGATCAACATATCTTCTCATTAGGTTTTAGTTGTCAAAACCATAATGTGAGGAAAAAAATCAATTCAACTCTGTATTCTCTGGGAGGATTCTGAGAACTCTCTGGTAAAACTTGTTTTTTTTCATTTCCATTTACAATCTGAATGTTAGACGAGTGTTTAAACAAATGCCTATATGCAGACATAGTGGGAACCTGAGTATTTCTGACTAAAGAATGGCAGTGAGGTGTAGTGAGAGTTCTTCATTATGTGTCAGAAAGTCAAAAAGGTTTAAAAGAACTTGACACTTTAGAGTTTTAACTTAAACAAACTGTTCAAGGTGGTCAGGCATTAGTATTTTGTCTCTTTGACCAAGAGCTAAAGCAGCACGAAGCACTGGTTTTCACTCAGGTGATTTCTTCTTTTAGCCAATTCTGCCTTATCACCAACCTGCTTCCTGGGATGAAGACAGTTTTTCAGTTTATTCTATGTTGTTGACAGTCAGGTATTAATGATGGCCAGAATATAAGAAATTACATATTTAAGTCAAACAATTTAAATGAAAATAAAATTTGCCCTTAGTTAACTCTGACAGGACTTGTATATGATACATGAGATGTAGAGAACTGTATTCAAGGTCTTAATTATTTTAATCCTAACATGCTTCAACTTACACTACGAGGTGTTATAATTTGCAGTTATAAACAGCTTATCTTTGGTTACTCCAGATCTGAAGACACTAGGTATGTAGGTGTCATCCATTTTAATATCAGCTGCTTGGTGAAGAAAAAGGCAATCCCACTGATTGAAGTTTAGATCTTCCCTCATTTATTGCAGCTGCGTACTGTAGGCTTTGATAACAAAGATAGGAGTTTCTCATATGTATTAGCAAATTTAAATGATTGCCTTGAAGAATTTGCTTGTTTATTCCACCCCTGAGGTGTTCTGACAAGATTTTTTTTTTGTGACATCAGTTAAGATTTTTCAGATTGCCTTATAGAAGAGTATAGCTGTATAGAAACCTGCCTCCACCTGATAGAACTACTTGTCTCAACACTGAAGAGAGAATATTTTAATTAGCAGTATATATGATATAGTTCAAGAAATACATTCTTTTCTTTGTCACTGGTCTAGAGAAAAGGGCTAAGTTCATGGTCAGGATAGGCCAGGAACACCAAATGGACAACCTTTCTGAAGTTTTTTATAGAGATCTTTGGAGCAAAGTGCTTATCTCAGAAATCAGTCTAATTGACTAAAAGCTCACAGTTTTTTCACAGGATTTTGTTTGGAAAAGAGTTGTATAAAGGGGGATAGAAGGGGAGGAAAAAATCTAAATCCAAATAAGTTTATTTGTTAATTTATAGGTCAGACATCTGGTGTCTGTGAAGTTCCCCTTTATGTAAATCACCCATGAAATTTGGTTCCCTTAAAGAAAATGAACTTATTCAGAGAATGGAAAGAAAGTTTAAGAGGCAAAACTGATAATGTTAGTCAAAGTAATTAAAAGTATCAAATTACACAGTACATTACACTATGTTTTTAAATAAAAGATAGTAAAAAATGTGAAAAAACCCTTATGTTTTACCTCAAAAGGATTCAGTATTTTAAGGAGCAAGGACAACATATAGTCAAACGCTAATGTTTGATTCCCTTTTTTAAGTAAGAAATATGATGATGAAGCTACAATTTCTAACCTTTTAATAGTCACAGAGCTTAAACAAAGAAAAATCCTATAGCTCTTTGAGATATCAATGTTAGCTGTAAAAACTCAAATGGGGTTTTGACCCATTTGGTGATTTGCATAATTTAAAATATTTTCCCAGTCTTTAGGTTATGGTGAAAAAAGCGACATAAATCAAATATCAAATGCCTTTTTATGCAATGATTACTCTTGAACACAGAAATAGTTTAGTATGTAACTATCCTCTTTAAAGTTTTTACTCCTGGGATTTTATATGATTGTGTTGCTGAAATTCTGTATGTATAGCTTGATAAATTTAATGCATTGGTCTTAGATTTTAGTAATAAGTACTTCTCTTTCAGGTTTTAAGTACATATTTCAAAATTGAAAATATACATTTTAATTAGTTGATGGCTGTGTTTATTTTCATGCTACTAGGGAAATTAATACTTCAAATATTGTTTTAAAAGTGCATTCTCCTTTACCTATATTACTTTATAAGTTAATCAGGACCTAAATTTGGACTACGTTAGACTCTGTTACAACTATATAGAGAATATTTGGTTGGATTTTACATATAGACCTTACCTGCATTTCTTAGGCAGCCCTAAGAAGACTAATTAGCAAGTTTTGAATAATAACTGTGCTCTTTCTAATATGAAGAGCTCCATTCTACACCTAGACACTTGGTCCCTGTGTAAGAGTGAATACATATGAACAACAAACCAAGAGTATGTCAAAACTGTAATCCTGCACTGATGGTCATTTTTGATGGTGTTGCACAAACATGGAATCCTGTAATTGCTACTCTCGAATGGGACACAAGGCCAGTTTCGGGCAGTTGCCCAACCCTGACAGTAACCAGGTCTAGAAAGTCTTAAGAAGCAATTAACAGAGATTTGAAATTACTTTTTTCCAACTATTGATAATCAAGTTGTTAAAAATTGCATTAGTCCTGAGACACAAGGCATAGTAACACTATAAAAATTCTTATTTTGGTACCTTTCATAACTTGTTACACAAGTTCAGGCCTGGTTTTGAATGCCCACTAAGTTCTTGACTTCCCTAATTACATATAGCATAGATTTTCCCAATGTAATTGCTCACTTTGCAGGGATACCTTCCTTACCGCTGTTTAAATGTTATTGCATTAAATGTCCTTTCAGAAGGAAAACTCAGATTGGTTGTCATCAATTGAATTTCCTCCTGAAAGGAAATTGTACTTTGTAAACTTTTGTTTCCATGATCTTGAAAACTGATTGCTTGTTTTGTGGTGTCTGTGGATGTGGATGAGATGGACTCTTGGAATTTTAAATCATAGTATCATCATAGTATGTTAAGGGGTTGGAATGGACCTTAGAGATCTAGTCCCAACCCCTGTGCCCTGGGCAGGAACACCTCTCAGTAGACCAGGTTGCTCAAGACTTTATGCAACCTGGCTTTGATCATTGATAGGGCTGGAGCATCAGCAGCCTCACTGAGCAACCTCTTCCAGTGACTTACCACCCTCACATGAAAAAAACCTCTTCTGAATATCTACTCTAAATTTCCCTCTTTCAGTTTGTACCTGTTACTCCTTGTCCTATCACAGTTCCTAACAAGGAGCCCTTCTCCAGATTCCTTGTAGGCCCCTTCAGACACTGGAAGGTTGCTATGAGGTTCCCACTCAACCTTCTCTTCTCCAGGCTGAACAGCCCCAACTTTCTCAGCCTGTCTTCATAGAGAAGATGCTCCAGTCCTCTTATCAGCTTCGTGGCCTCCTCTGGACTTGCTCCAACAGGTCCATGTCCTTCTTATCTTGGGAACACTAGAACTGTATGAGTACTCCAGCTGGGGTCTCACAAGAGCAGAGTAGAGGAGGAGAATCACCTCCTTCAACCTGCTAGCCACACTGATACAGCCCAGGATTCAGTTGGCTTTCTGGGCTGTGAGTGCACACTGCTAGCTCATGTTGAATTTTTCATCTACCATCACCCCGATGTCCTGCTCTGCCGAGCTGCTCTTAACAACTTCTCTGCCCGGCCTCTAGGTGTGCCTGGGATTGCCATGCCCAGATGTAGGACCTTGCACTTAATTTTGTTGAATTTCATTATGTTTGTATTGGCCCACCTCTCCAGCCTGTCAAGTTCCCTCTGCATGGCATCCCTTCCCTCCAGCTGTGACTGCCACAAACAGCTTGGTGTCATCAACAAACTTGCTGAGGGTACACTCAGTCCCACTGTCCATGGTAAAGTATAATGACAGAATGTTACAACATAGTGAAGTTTGTTATATGCATCTAAATGGATTTAAGAGAGAATTTACTAGATAAAAGCGAAATAGGTCAAGTTAAAACAGCAAAGTCTGTGACCTTATACCTCTAAGAAGTAAGTAAATGCAGTGAAAAAAGTGGTTAACCATTCTGCATTTAATAATGTCTTGCCAATTCTTTTAGGAGACATCCAAGACTAAAAGTCTGCTCTATGTGGCATGTATTTGCTAGTTATATTTTTTAAAAATTTAAGATAATGTCTTTCATATTTCAACAGTGTAATTTTTGTTTGATGGGAAATACAGTGACTCTAAAATGCTGGTAACACTTGAAGTCTCTGTAATACAAATGGTCAGGACAGAAAAGGCAAGAGACGGTTCATATTCTTATTTGTCAGATGGCCAGTTCAAGTGAACACTCTACTGAAGAGGAATGAACTATACATATATATATATAAACATTATTTGTGTTGCCTTCTGCTAACAATATATACATTTAAACTAATTGTTTCTCCCTTCACCCTGCGAGCTTAAGAACAACAGAAGATTTTCAGTGATGAGTAACAGGGTACAGAAAGATCAGTGAAGTAGATTTCATGGATAGAATAGAATAGAATTCTGTGATTCATGGTGTAAAAGTCTCCATGAAGTAGATTTCATAGAGTAGACTTCATGGTGGCTGTCTCAACAACAATGTTGAGATGAACTGTAGGGGTGTGAATCTACTTACACTGTTAGAGCTGTAACTTAACAACA